CCGCGGAGAGCAGGTGGCCGGCGCCGGGCAGCTTCCCCCGGGGGGAGAGAAGAGAAGAGAAGAGAGGAGCCCTGAGCCGCCACCGGGGGCAAACCGCGCCGGGAGGCTGTCGGGCACTGGCCGGAGGGGGTAACCGCGGGCTGTCACCCAGCGCTCCCGGGTACCGGGCCCTCCGTGTCCGGGAGAGCAGAGCAGGCTCCTCCTTAGGATAGCACAGCAGGTAGCCGGTGTGCTGTCTGTTAGCGTGGGCAAACCGATTGTAAATAAAGCGTTCCACTTTTTTTGACCGTCAGGAAGCGTATAGCTTCATACGGCCTTTACGTAATAAGGAAATCTCTCTTCAGGTGTTTCCAGATCTTGTTTTTATTTGCCAAGCGTACTAACTCTTCAATTTTATTTTTTTTTAAAGCTTTCCCTGCAGAAGAACTAGCAGTGAAGAGTTCTGTTCTCTGGTAGGTTGACAATTGGGTGCGGCTGGCATGTTTGCAATAAAGCATGCTTCAGGATGTGATGATGAAGTCGTATGTTGAAATTAGGAAGCAGCCTGTGTGTGAGGTGAAGAAAGTAAAAGGGGATTTAAGAGAAAGAGACGCAAAGGGAGTGAGTACACTTGTAGAGTATAGAAGAGCATGGTAGTAGAACAGAACTCATTTTTTAAACAGTAGAGTGATGAGGTATTTAAAAGTAAAGTTAATAGTTGAATTAGGTGAACAGACTGACTTGGATCCTAACTTTTGTTCCTGCCTAGTAAAGCCTTCACGGGTTGGAGGATGTCCTCTCTCCCTTCCTTCGGTGTTGGATTGGCAGAGGTTGGGAATGTCCATCGGTCTGATGCCTGTGTGGCCGGGTAGGCGTGGAGGAAGTTATGTGAGCATCTTTCTACTGGCAGCACCTGCTTGAGAGGACAGTGCTTCTAAGCACTGGTTGTGTGTAGCCTTTTATCCCGGTGGAGGTGCTGGGATACAAAACATGCTCCGTTTATCCTGCTGGATGAATGGAGGCCAGTTACTTCATGCAGTGATTGATATTCATTAAATAATGATATGCAGATGCTACTAGGCACGGTTAGGTTCGAACTTGTGCCTCAAGGCAAAATGTTTGCTAATCTATCATCAGCGTAAGATCATCCTGTTTAATGTGTGTGATAAATCTGTGTGGAACATCCAAAAGGAAAGAGAACCCATAAACCTGAGAGTTTGTATGCAATGCACGATGTTTTCAGCAACTGGATGGTTCTAGAACTGTGCTGACAAAAGCACTACTGGGGATATCACTGAAAAGGAAAAACAGTTGTGCTCATTCTGGCTTGCTTTAGAGAACAGGGGAAATGTGCAGTGATTGAAGGGTGGGGTTTGGGGGGAGAGGAATGTTACATTTTAATTTTAAAAGTGTTGTGCAAAGAGTAATGTCTTAATGTGGCCTTAATCCATAGTTTTAGCTACTGGTTATTTATGAAGTGTAACAACTCCATCAAAACCTGAGTCTTGTCAGTATTGGAAGAATCAACACTATCTGACTGAGTGGCTCTGGAATATGAATCTAGCCTGGCTGTCATAAGTGAGCTATAAGGAAAACACTACTGATACTGAAAACTCAATTAGATATCTCAGGAACAGAAACCACATTAGTGTTCAAATAAATACGATTATTCATGCAGATTATGTGTTGTAGTTTTCTTTTTTTATGTTGACAGTTTCTTTTAATTGACAGCTCTTAACATTTGGAAAAGCAGAAGAATGGCATCAGAAGACATCGCTAAGCTTGCGGAGTCACTTGCCAAAACCAAAGTGGGCGGTGGACAGTTGAGCTTCAAAGGCCAGAGCCTTAAGCTCAATACAGCTGAAGATGGTAAGAGAAAATACCCTTGCATTTGGGAGGTGTCTCTGAAATTCTAAAGTCTTGCAGTACACCTCCTGCTAATCCTGCATGGCCAAATTGTCCTAATATTAGCTGTGATGGAAGGGTCTTTCAGCTATAGCTGCTTCTGATAGAGACATTTCCTTCCCTTCTTGTACCCTGCTTTGACCTGCTACACTGGCAATGCTACAGCTGGCGGAATTGGGGTTTGGCTTTCTGGTGTGGGATTCTTGTTTTCTTGCTGTTCTCTCCAAGTGCTTTTGACAGTCACTGTGCCTTAGAGGTCAGTGCTCCTTGTAAAATGAGTAAGCAAGTGCGTGATGGCAGTTGGAACAAGTAGATGCTTCAAAGACCTGCACAGAGGAATGGGCTGATATGTTAGGCTGCTGCAATAGTCCAGTTTCTTCCCAAATTCTGATCAATTGAGTAGACTCTTCTTGGATTTTTTTTTTCTGTAGTATCTCTCCTGCTGGTGTATGTGTGTTTCCCAATTACAAATGCCTTGCAGTGGCTGCTAATGTAGTAAATATCTGGAGAATATGTATATATTCTTAGAGCAACATTTCTGCCACATCAAGAAACAGCATGTTCTTCAGAGAAGTTATCTACTAGTGTGTACCATTTTTACTGATTCCAAAGGTGATGCTTTTTTTTTTATATGGCATTTTAGTAGTGCAAAGCCACTGAACTATGGGGAAAGGGAATGATAACAAGTGTCCAGTGACAGAGAGAGTCTGCAGCCTGCTCCTGTGTCTTACATAGGATTACTCTAGAGTTAAATTGTTCCACTGCGACATGTTTGCTAAACAGGCATCTACTTTTGGCAGTCAGTGGGAACTTTCCCCTGTTGCTGTGGCACCAATTCCCATCGACTTTAAGCTTAGTCCTTGCATCTTTGTAGGCATGTGCACTCTAGCTCCTAAACCATGTGCTGAATGGCAGAGGAATCTTACTTAGGAAGTAAGGAAACTTACTTTTGCAAATAAGAGGATGGCTATCAGAGAGTAGAACTAGAAATAAGTTATGAAAAGGCAGGGTGGGGAATGGAGCAAGTTCTCTCTAGTAACCTGACACTTTAGCTTGGTTCCCAGTGCTGTTTCAGGATTCTTTCAGATAATGTTCAGCTGTTTTTGTTAAGGGTAGAGTTGAGCAAATATTGCTGCATCAGAGTGTTACTGTGGTACCTAAGATGATACTTAAAAGGCCAACGAGATTGTCTACTTTTTGCAGCTGAAGAAGTGATCAAGCAAATTGAGGAATTTGATGGCCTGGAAGCATTGCGCCTGGAAGGCAACACAGTGGGTGTGGAGGCAGCAAAGGTCATCGCCAAAGCCTTGGAGAAGAAATCGGAGCTCAAGGTGAGATCTTCAAATGGGTGATGGTGAAGAAGTAGTATTGTAGAAATACTGGACGCCTATCTATGCTCTTCCTGCGGTAGCCTGCCTTGAGTTAGCCCTACAGCTTGCTTGGTGGTTCTTCCAGTAGGAAGAACAACCATATGGAAATATGACAGAACTTTGGGGATTTTGGGATAGTGGGAACACTTTCTGCATTCTTAACTGTTCCTGTTCAGAAGGCTTCCAATCTTAAAGCTGGGAAGCTGTGCAAGGAAGAGCCTGTCTGCAGGGGCAGCATCTGTAAACAAAGAACTGTGGCAACAAAACTTAAGTTTTAATGGAAAAGTGGGGTCATATCTTCTGAAGAATGAGTCTTCTGAGTATACCTGAATAGGGAAGAAAGAATGGAGGAAATGCACCAGGTTCTTCCATGTCCAAGCTATGTTTCCCTGCTGCTGTTCTAGCCTAACGTTAGGAGGATGCTGTGCTGCTAGGGACATTGTCCTTAGCAGGAGAGGTGTATGAGACATTGATTCATATTAATCACCCAAGAGTGGCTTTTCAAGCAAGTCCAGATTGTTCAGCTCCATACCTTAGTAAAATCTGCATTCCTAATGTATCCTTCAGTTTCCTACTGCTTTTTCCTGTGGTAGTTTTCTCAGTAGAAAAGAATTCCAGCTTGAATGCAGGCAAGACAGAATTCTTGTATAGTGTTATTTACAATGTGTATTTCAGTGGCTTTATGTCCTTGCGAGTGAAGTAATTATAACGTTAGTTCTTGTAGCTCTTTAGTACAATCAAATGACAAGCCCAAGGGAAGGCAGACAGTATTAAGCTGTCCCCAGTGATGTAATGCAAATTGTATGTGTAAACCTCTGTACAACTCTGTTGTCCTAAATATTTTTAATGGTTTCTATCTGTATGTTTCTTATTTTAGAGGTGTCATTGGAGTGACATGTTCACAGGGAGACTAAGGTCTGAGATCCCTCCTGCTTTGGTAAGTACAAGCTAGAACTGAGACCTCTTACTAATATAACTTCTTTTCTCACCTGTCATGCTTTTTGTGGGAGTATGCTTTTTAGCACAGAGCTGATCTTTCTCTATGCTTTTCACACTAAGTGTCTCAGAATAGGTGAGTGATTCTTTTTTGCTTGTTCTGTATGAGGTGGAGAAGAGTTGATAAAAGGCCAAATGCAAGTCTATGCTAGTGAAGAAACCTGTCGCTGGGGATAACATCTTCATGATGGGAACTAAACTTTCTAAAGAAAAGCATATGGCCATCTCTTCCAAGAGCATTACAGAGCTCCCCACCTCCTTGAGTCCTGTGAAGCAAGAACACAAACTCAACAGAATGAAAAAAAAAAAATTCTATTGGAAGTGTAAGGGGGGAAACTCACTTTGAAAAATGTGTGTTTGACCTGAAGGGATAGAATAACTTCTTGGTAACTGCCTTATGGTTATCTTTAGCTTAATTTGCACAACTTCTTCTCTGGCTTTAGCTGTAAAGCTTTACTTCCCCATGCAGCTTTGCAGAATGTCTTCAAAGTGGAGATTTTTTGCAGTATTACCAGCTCACCTAGCCACTGCAGTGATGCTGTCACTAGAAGTCAATCCCCTCCCTCCCACCCACTGCCATCTGTTCTCTTACAGATCTCTTTGGGGGATGCACTCATCACTGCTGGAGCCCAGCTGGTGGAGCTGGACCTGAGTGACAATGCCTTTGGGCCAGACGGTGTGCGTGGCTTTGAGGCACTGCTCAAGAGCCCTGCGTGCTACACCCTACAGGAACTCAAGCTCAATAACTGTGGCATGGGCATCGGTGGTGGGAAGGTAAGGGTTGTCCCCTTGTTGGGATTGAGATCAGAACTAGGACTTGGCTTCAGACTGCCCTACACAGAATTGCAGCATGGTTGAGGTTGGAAGGGATCTTTGGTGATCATATAATTAAACTCTCCTGTTCAAGGCAACTAGAGCAGGTTGTTCAGGGTTGTGTCTAGTCAGGCTTTGAATATCTCAAAGGATGGAGACTTCACAGGCTCTCTGGATAATCTATCTCAGCGTTTAACAACCTTCACAGTAAAACGTGGAGGTTCTGTGTATTTAAATGGGATTTTCTCTGCATTGGTTTGTGCTCATTTGTGTCTGGCTCTGCCTTCTTTACATCTTCTCCCTCTGCCCTCACCTTGGTATTCTGACTGTTCTTACACACAGATGAGATCTCCCCAGAGCCTTCTCTTCTCCAGCGTGAAAAATCCCAGCTCTCAGTGCTCTCCCAGTATGGAGAATTCTCCAATTCCTTAATCATCCTTGAGACCTTTTGCTAGACTCACCTCTATGTCCGTGTAGGAGCCCAGTACTGGACACAGCACTCAGATGCAGGCACGTGTTGCTAGATTATAGTCAACTTCTCACCCACGAGGAGCCCCAGGATTTTCTCTGCCAAGCTATATTGCCTTCACTTGAACCCCAGCTTATGCTGGTACATGGTGTTATTCCTCCCCATTTGTAGAACTTTGCATTTCGCTTTAAACTTAATGAGATTCCTGTTGGCCCGTTTCTCCATTCTCAAGATCCCTTCCCTCTAGATGTTTTCAGGTATAAATTCTGAAATATGAAAAGCTCATCTGTTTTTCCAGGTTAGGAAAACAGTTCTATCCTAAACATTAGATTCCATGTCAAGAGAGCTAGTAGCCTTGGATTTGAGAGAACAGTATTCCCAAGCCTAGCACTGAAGGATGCCTGTTGGATGAAGCGGAAAACCAGGACTAACTGTCATTATCACTAAGACCCTATATGTTTGCCTGATTAAGAATCAGATGTTCTTAATGGGGTCAATGTGTTCTAGTGTTGCAAGATTATAATTTCTTGCCTAAGACTGTAGCGTGCAAGTGTTGTTGTTACAGGCAGTTTTATTGTATACCCTATGGTAGAAACAAGTGCGTTTCAGCAGCGACCAAAGTATTTCTTGGAAGCTGGATACACAAAACACATTTGGATTCCTTCAGAACGAGATGCTGAGATAGTATAAACTGCTTGTTTTATCTCTAG